CCCCCCCCCCTCCCTCCCCCCCTCCCCCCCCTCCCTCCCTCCCTCCCTCCCTCCCTCCCTCCCTCCCTCCCTCCCTCCCTCCCTCCCTCCCTCCCTGTACATGTTCCTAGACATACAAAAGTGTTGATGGTTTTTATGTCCACTTACGTGTATAAAGCTCGACAGGCCGTGTGGCAGCAGAGCAACGGCCTGCTTGCATTGACGCTGACGGGGCCTGCAGGGGAGGAGGCTGGGGTGCTCATTCGGTTCAGCTGAGGGTGCTCGGTTCGAGTCCTTCTGCTTCTACGTTTACGTGCTTGGGGATTATGGATTTCGGGATTCACGCTCTCTGTTGCCGGTTTTTTTGGATGGTTTGGGCACAGCTTCGCATGATGTGGAGAGCACACCCGTGATGCAGGAACCTCGATCATCTCAATTTCACGGTTTAAAAAAAGCGTAATTAGTGAAACCTGCCATAAGTTTTTTTCTTGCCGGAAATGTTGCAGACCCAGCCCACCACCCAAAAAGGTAAAGATTGCAAGTATGGACGCTCCTCAGCCGGGGCGCGTGGAGCTTCTCCCAGCCTTCCAGGTGATGACGGTAAACATGGTAGTGCTGGGCTCGGCTGAGCGATTCCGGCTTTGAGTCTTCCTGTTCCGAGTTCAAGTTTGGGTACAACTTTTCAATCGCCGGTCATGACAACACCTCGTGCAGGAGCCTCGACTCGACATGATGAAGTGGTAGATTGTTGGACTTAGGTGCTGTATTGGGTTTGGTTAGCGATCTTTTTGCAGTGCTTTCTTGAGGTTTGTAGCTTTTGAAGGAGTTTTTAGTCTAGATCGTGCGATTCATCGTGGGGAACTTCTCCAAAGACCGTACAAATGCCGGGGTGGGAGGGGATGTAGGCAGACCAGCTTGGTACATGGCCGGATCTGTGTTCACCTGCCAGTCGTTATCAAGAAAGGGTCTCCGTAAGTTCTTGTTTCAGAACTATAGTACAGCATGGCTTGCTCAAATTCTTGTTCTTAACTCCCTTACAATAGAACCCCTACGGTATCTAACTGTTCATTCCCCTTCAGGACTGACCCGATGCCAAGGTGCAGATCCGGGTCGACGAGACCGGAAGCCTGCGTAGATTCATTTTCAATCCGATGGAGTAGAGAGCTGAAGAGGGCCGTAAAGGGCCCTGAATGCAAAACCCAAAAGGGGCGGAGTGAAGGGCCAAAAGGGTCCCAAGGCGGCTCTCCGAGCCGCTCATAGGTTTCGAAAGCCAATCACCCAAGATCCAAACTTCTACCCACTTAAGCCTCGGATGCGTCAAATGTGGGTTTCACCCCAGTTTTCCCGAAATGAGTGCCATGACAGCTGTCAGGAGCGCGGAAGGATATTGGTTCTCGGATGGCGATTGTGAGGTAAAGTCGCTTGTCTTTATGTTGCAGCTGTCCAATACAGTGAATCGCCTCCAGTGGCAGCTCCGCTCCTTCTGGGAAGTTGCGAGACGTCTAGAACGCCGAGATGCGCTGTGCAACCCCCGGCAAAGCCTGCCTGGCAGTAGAGCTTCGCATGAACCACGGCCACGAGCAAAGTCGAGCAGTGTCAACTCCAAAAGCTAATTCTTGTAACACGTATGTGTGCAAGTATACACTCGAGACTGTCAACGTCATGTTGCGACTACACAGACGCATGGGCTTTCTTGAGACCTTCTGCGAGCTTCGCGTTGTGCTTACACCAAAATTCTAGCGCTCCTTCACAAATCCACAAAACCCCACATGCCCGACAACATGTAATTGCCCTTGAAGCGATCCCGAAACTTGTGCATCAATCAAGCCCAAGCCCTCAACCCTTCGAGAGGCCAGGCGTTTTCTTTCCGGCAAGCTCTCTCAGGCCTGGGAAGTGGTTGCAACACTGATGACAACATCATGGTTGAGGTTTTGTTGTGGGGTCTGCATGCGAGGCTGGGAAGAACGGCTTTTGTCTCAGAAGTTGGCCTTTTTCGAGATGAGAGAGGGATCTCGATCATTGGCAATTTTCGTGCTCTCAATACGCCCTTCGATCTGCCCCACTGCTAGCTGTCACATTAGTAGTTTTGCGACCCCAGATTTAGAGCCCCCTAACGGTGGGCATGCTCGAAGATAGCTGAAATCTGCAGCTTCGCGTGCAGGTTGGCCGTTTCACGCCCAAGCCCCAGTTTGCTTCTTCGGTTGCCGGAAAGAGTGTTGTTTCATGTTAAGGGCTCAGCTTCCTCTCAGTGTGTTGGCAGTTTTACAAGTTTGGCTCTGATTTTGTTTGCTGATACCAAATGCCAGTGCTACGGTTGCTGCTGTACTTGACAGCCTTCCGTGGTTGTTTCTAGCAACGTGTGCGCGGCTGGCATTGTTGTTGTCTGCACACGAATAACGAAGTAAAAGTAGCTTTGTAGTACTCGTCCTTACTCGTCGTTGACTTCACAAGACGAGACTGGATCCCCTAGCGGTTGCCTCCGCTTCCGGCGCGGTCAGCCCTGCCGCTTTTCTGATTCAGAAGCCGGATATTTTGCAGGTTGGTCGTCAAGAAGCAGGCGATCGAAGAGTTCTCTGGCCTCCAGGATCCCATGGAAAGCACTGTTGCCACCTGCTACAGCTGCTATTGCCACCGCCGCTGCTACTGCTACTGCTACTGCTACTGCTACTGCTACTGCTACTGCTACTCCTACTCCTAATCCTACTCCTACTCCTACTCCTACT